CAATTAGAATATTGGCTAAAGAAATTTAAAATAATTCGTGTCTCAGCTATGCCGATTTTGTTAAAATTATTTAACTATATCTTGTATTGAATTTTATTTCTTATGCATTTTTGTTGCACTTATTGATGATAGAAGTGAGAATATTAAAAATTTATAAACTGCCGTGAAACTCAAAATGAGCTAAAATGAAAAAAAATATGATCTAAATATTTTTTGTACATCTGTACCAAAAAAAAGAAAGAAATCGAAGTGTAACCTTTGGGTAGGTATACTTGTTAGTCGCACTCTTTCCGCGGTGACTTGTCGCCTGTCGATTGCAAATTTAGAAAGTTGTGCTTTCGGCGAGACCTTGTTCTAAGAAAAAATTCACATCTTGGCAGAAAAGCGGCAAGCAGAAAGGTAGGAGTCTATAAACCTGTTCTTTTTAGCTGAACTGTCTGAACTGCACACTGATGCAATAAGTTGGAGTTTGAGAAATATATATTTTGTTTACAAACATATATTTCGTCTCACTCAAATTTATGGCACCAGTGTGCACCAGTTAAAAGAACAGTTCAGCTAAAAGAACAGATCTAATCAGAACTCGCGCTGGTAGAAAGGCAGAAACTGTCGACTGTCATCTGAGCACCAGTATGAGTTCTGATTGGCTTCTGCTTTTCTGCTTCTCGCTTTTCTGTCAAGATGTGAATTCTCCCCAAGGATAACGCGGAGGAATCGATGTCGGATAGTCGCCCGACTGTATTTCAAACGCACGCGTGCCTGCCTGTCTGGACGAACGGATTTGCGCGCCGTGTGGGATCGCAGCAACTTCCCCGCACGCAGGAGGTACATTTCGGTTAACGGTGTTCTAACATTAATCGAATCGTACGCGCCAATCTCGTCAGCGAGCCGGCGACCAAGGTAACGGTAAACGGCCAGGGGAAGTTAGTTACAAGGTAAACCCCGCTTGCGACGCTCTTAATTGCCATCATAACTCGAGACAACTTAACCCCCGCCCGCGGGGGGCGATCGTTATCCCGGCTGAATACCGTCCGACCGGCGACAAATTTCATTCTCGCACGAAAACGATTTTGCCAGAACAAGCAATTCGAAATTCTTGCGCTCGCTTGAAGATTCCTTTCAAAAGAAGCACGTCGCGCTCATTCCACGTTACGTTGCGTTGACAGCCGCGGAGTGTATAGCAAGGTAAAAGTACTAATAATAAGGTAAAAGTACGCTCAGATATGTACCTAATTCTCGACATTTTTATTGTTTTGATTTTTAGAAAATATAAATATTTAAACTTTCAACATAAAAAATATATATATACAAGTATTGAATATACATACATTTTATGTTAAAAGTTTAAATATTCGCATTTAAAGATCAAAACAATAAAATGTTCAAAATTAGGTATGTGTCCGGCAATTTTTACCTTAATGCAATTTAATCGTAAATAAAGAAGCGAGAAAGATCCGAAAGTAAATTATAAGAATTATTCTGGTGGAATAATTACAATGACGATCATTGCGCTATTTATCGTGGTGAACGACTGTTTGCGAAAACAATGTGCTCACATTCTTACTCTGAAGATAACAGAATATACGCTATTTCGACCATGAGAGCGGTACAACGGATACTCGCAACTTCGGTTTTTAACGCAACGCATGGAATTTTTAACGAGCAGTTGCTGGAGATATAACAGTCGGCATTTAGCGTTAAGTTAATAAACGAAAAAGTCTCAAAATAATGAGACCAACCGCTAATGCAGCACATGGTGACATTAATTCGAAATGCGAAGCAAATCCCACTTAAAAGATTATCATATACAGAATGTAAAACAAAAATCTCTCTTTCTAGCGCGAGAGAAACTGGTAAGTTTCTGCCATAAATTACTTTCAAGCAGGAAATTGAATGCCAATGTGATATCGAATCGAGCATCGAATTTAATTACAGCATCCAAAATGTGCGTATACTCGAGTCGAAATTTCTACGTTAATTCTGTAAAATCCATCAAACTTGAAAAACCATTGGGGAATCTCAAAATATCAATACTACAGAAACTAGTCTTTGCAATGAGAATGGCTATTTTTGTCGCTGTTCTTTCCATACTGAAGGTTCAATATTAATGGGTAAATAAGATAAAAATTTTTGTTTTTTAGCATTGAAATTTCAACAAGATTTAGAAAAGATTTGTTATTAAAGATTTGTTATTTTCATAAATAAAAGAACAAAATTGTAAAGATAAACGTAACAATTGTCTGCCCAGAAACAGAATATAAATTTTAATATTTTTGGATAACAAAGTTAAACGGAAGAGAGAGAGAGAGAGAAAAGATGTTGACAGATTGAAGATAGGACTCGCAGCCCGAGCGACATTTTAAATGTATGTAAACATATAAACATATACATGAATGAATGTAGATACATGTATATGTAAACATTTAAAAATGTGAATTCTAAATTCCGACTCGGGGATGCTCCTCGTGTATATTGTATCTCGTAAAAGGTTTCTGCTGTGTTCTTTTATGTTTTGTTTCTTTCCCGGAAAAACAAATGTGGCAAAGCTTTCACTCCTTCGCCATTTTGTAAAACTTTGAATATCCCAATAAATGGCATCAATTTAAAGCTTAGGATAAGTAGAGGCACACATTAAGAATAATTTTTAAAATTATTTAATTTTTAAAATTATTTAATTTTTAAAATTAAAATTTCAATGTATCATTTTCAGATCATTATTTGACAACATGCCACTAGTATAATATAGTATATATATTACGTGCAAATAGTTATCTATTGAAGTTGCAAACTTTTGGACCGTTTATCTTCCAAACAATCACGAGAACAATATCGAGACTTTGTACTCTCAATCTATTCAACATATAAGCTTCAAATCGGCGTATCATTAATTGGAACATTCCAAGTTTTGGAGCGAAGTGTCTATGGACGCTCGCGCTCTTTATGAGATACAAAACGTCCGTAAATTGAGAAAGGGGTGAGAGAACGTTCAAACTATCGCCGTCAAAGTTTCGAACATTTCAGTCGAAACACAGGAGTCGAAGTGTCGAACGATAGTAAAAATAAATTTCAAGCACACATTGCGCCAAAATTATCGCAAGTAAACAAAGCGTTAAAGTTGCATACGTAAGCAATATGTAAATATATAACAATATGTAAACAATATGTAAATATATAAGCATATGTAAGCAATATGTAAATATGTAAGTATATGTAAATAATATGTAAATATCCAAATAACACGCATGTCTAAAAGATGTCTAAAAGATGTCTAAAAGATATCTAAAAGATTTTTCATATAACAAAATGTTACATAAGACGTCTTTTAGGTATCTTTTCAACATCTTTTAGACATGCATGTTATCTGGATATGTAACAAGCAGTATGTATAATATATAAATTTACTCACTCGGACCCGCTGCACCGCCGCCGCTACCTCCGGGCCAAATCCTCCAGCTGTTCCACCGGCGCCAGCTCCTCGGCGACTTTTGGTAGCGATTCAGCTCCATCCAGGTGGCACACTCACACGAACACGAATATCCGAAGAACGAAAAAAAAATAAAAAAACGCGACTAACTGCGGACGCGCATACCGTTCTTCTTCGTACGACGCGACGAGATGGATGATCGTAGAACGACCGAACTATTTGTAACGCTCAGTTGAAATTTTACCCTCTAATTATATAAAGATGGTTTTAACAGTTCGAAACTTTCCGACTTTTCGTTCACGTCCTTTCAGATTATATTCTTATAGTCGTTTTCTTAATTTCGTTAATGTAACTTTCACTAATAGATATTAACCGTCCATTGCTCTCGTATGAGGCGAGCGCGCGTTGAAATTTTATTTTCTAATTATATAAAAGTGGCTCTTAGCGCGCGGTTGGCTTTGAAACTTCCTGATTTTTCACTTACAACCTTCCTCTACAAAGATTTTATTTATATGGTCGTTTTTTTAATTTTGTTAGTGTAACATTTGTTAATAAACTTTGAAAGCGTTAACGCAGATTTATAGCGAAAATAAATACATCAAGTTAATGCGTTGTTATCAAATTCTAGCTTTATTCCGATAAATCGATAATAAATCAACGTTTTAATACATTTACTCGTTTTTATAAAATTCTGTATTAGTACAGTAATAATTAAATTCTCCTTTAAAAACTCAATAGCCAATAGACACAATAAGCGCGACGTTTCGCTTGTCTATTGCCTATTGAGTTTTTAAAGGAGAATTTAATTATTACTGTACTAATACAGAGTTTTATAAAAACGAGTAGATGTAGTAAAACGTTGATTTATTATCGATTTATCGGAATAAAGCTTGAATTTGATAACAATGCATTAACTTGATGTATTTATTCTCGCTATGAACGCGCGTCAACGCTTTCAAAGTTTATTGACAAAAGTTACACTAACAAAATTAAGAAAACGACCATATAAATAAAATCTTTGTAGAGGAAGGTTGTACGTAAAAGTCCGTTGGGAGCGTGTAACAAATCGCGGCCTTATTTACGTTTTTTGTGTCGTTCGGTTTACGAGGCGATATTGTACGATAGCGCTTTACGTCCGTCTCACACACAGTCGCGTAGAATACACACTTCCGCGTTTCCCTTCTGGCAGGCACCAAGACGCGCGGAACAGACGCGCGAGGGTTCGCGTTACTACTGCCGGAATCGTCGCGTCGTCACGCGCCGTATAAATGGATAAACAGCGATTTCGCGAGATGAACACGCTCCGTGCGTCCGCTCCCCCCTCCCCTCTCCATCCCCCCCACTCACCGCGACTGGCGCACCAAACAGCACTGGTAATTGTTACATGCGGGACACGTTGCTACGATCGCGCGTTAAACACTCTGTTTGGCAACTCTATTTGTTATAACGTGCGCGCGTGAAATTTCGCCGGTTCCGACAACTTTGACGTCATGATTTATTGTTCGCTTTTAGTGACTTTTCGTAAATACGTTCACCCGCAAACGCGCTTTTGGAAACGGCGCGGCAGAAAACGATCTTACAGAACACACCACATTGTCTTTAATGTTCAATTTATGAATATAAAGTTTGCGTCACGATGTTTTTCGTAAAGTTCGACGTATGATACTGTCGCGCCAAACTGAAGCAAGAGGTTTAGAGGAGAAGTGAGCTCACTTTTCGGAAGATTCGGAGTCGATTTCGCGGGAATTTCGTCGATGAATTTTCGTACGACGCGAGACACAGCCGGTCTGCCCGGCGCGCGGTGACCGACTGACTCTCAACAAACCGGTGACGATTCATACATAAACACGCCCAGATGTGCCCACACCGTTGCCCTACAAGCGTTTGCTATACTTTATATAGTATACTATTATTCTAAATACTAGATAAAAATATACATGCGACGACGCGCACTGAATTGATAATAATACCGAGTCTTCCTCTTCGTTGAGGATATTTTTATTTCGATATCTGTGTCGCTGAGTGTGGATTTTCTCACCCCTATACCGACAAGATTAATTGCACAGACTTTTATATTTCACCGCACGCCTTTTATATCGTTTTATATGTATATACTTTTGTGAGACAATCTTGGTCATGACATCAAATGTGTCAAAATCCTACCGAGCTAACGTGTGCATCGGCCTTCTAATGGCGCGTTCCAATGTGTTACCACGATTTTATAATATTTGTATATGAAGAAATTTCGTATTATGTTCACGATGACGGATTATTTATAAAGCGGTATGAAATATCAAAAGAACGGTAATATAGTCAAAATAATCGCTTATATCGTACGAGACACACCGTAGTATGTCACGAGTATGTGCACGGAAAGAGAATATTATAGTTTGCTTTTCCATATAAATTCTTTTGAAAAACGGTAAGATAAACCTTACTGTCGGCGGACTCTGTCTTTCTAAAGAACACAGTAAATTCCGCTAGAAACATGGCAAGTGTTTTAGAACACTTCAATTCTTAAGATGTAAGTGACGCATACAAAATGAAATTACAATGAGTGACTGCAGAATGTCGATCTCTATTTCTCGATTACAAAATCTTGTAGTGTACTCTTTACTAACATTCTCTCCGTTTATATACAGTTAAATGAAACACTCCAATCTTAAACTCAATTTCATCGAGACGCAAGTACTTTACAAGAAGCTACCGTGGTTTTACGATATTCGTTTACAAGGGCTGCTTGCGCAACAATCAAGCCGAAGCACTTTGAAGGATATATTAAGAAAAAGAAAGAAGAGAGACGGCAGAGAGAAAGAGAGAGAGAAAGTGAGAGAAAGAGTGAGCGAGCGAGCAAGCGGGGGAGAGAGAGAGAGAAAGAGAGAGAGAGAGAGAGAGAGACTTAGCTATTTCGATGAGACAATAAATATGAATTAGATCTCTAGTTTAATCTATACGATGTCGTGAAAGCGCACTCGGAAACGAGCATGATTAGAAGTTTAAGTGCAGCGTGCTTATTTACACCCGTTCATAGCAACAGCTATGTTCGATTTGCACGGTCGGAACGTGATGCACTCGGTAGGAATAAATGCCACGCGAGATATGCGAAAGCGCATTTTGGCGGATAACAGACGTGACACACACACACAGCTTCGCTAGCACGAGAGAACGCGATTAATTGCAATCCCACATACCAATTATTGTGACGCAACGATTATCCGACACTGCTATCAGAGACAGTAATCACCAGTTGCTATTATTCACGCGGATTGCCCGTTCTCTGCCCGAAAATCACGACGAATTCGCGAAGCCGGTCACTCGGCACTTTCGTGAGTATAACGCGCGACAAGAAGGAAATGGCGGGCTCGCGCGGCGACGTGCGCGTTGAACATCGCGCATCACCATCGATTATCGATCGATGTGATCGAACATCGCGAACAAGATAGCCAATCAGAGTGACTTTGACCAAACTTGATTCACCAGATGTTGCGAATGCTTCGAAGCATTTGTAGCGTGTAACGAATCGCACCCTCCGATTAAACTAACGAACGGTTGAGTAGTTGGATTCAAACTAAAATTGCTGTTGGAGAAGTTGAGAGAGAGAGGAGAGTGAGAGGAGAGAGAGGAGAGAGAGAGAGGAGAGAGAGAGAGAGAGGGCGGAGTGAAGTCAAAATTTCAGCCCACAGCTTAACCGTTCGTTAATTTAACCGGAGCCTGTTCAAAATCACCTTTATTCCCGCACAGTATATGACCTAATATCCGATCATTACTGATCGCTGTCATTATTCGATTGTACGTACAATTATGCGTATCTTTCAGCTTCACGGCGGCTATTTCGTCCTGTACTCGCGACTCACGACTGCACGCGATCTGACGCGACGCACCACGAACGAGTAAATAACCTAAAATACGTGCCGGCTTTTTCAACGGATACCGCGTCGGCGCACGGCGAAGCGACGCGCAGGTTTTCACGACTTAGAATCGCGAAATTGACTATTGTTACGATACCTCAAAGTGTCCGGCACTTTACTCAGCACTTTCGACATCGATTCGGCACGCGTGGATCCTTGGAGACGGGTGAAAATCACGAAAAATGAGGAGCGACATCGCCGCGACGCCGAACCGTTGCAATGCGTCGAGAAGAGAGAGAGAGAGGCGCGCAAACATGGCGGCTCGTCTTTCTCTCTCCCTCTCACTCGCTCGCTCTTTTTCTCTCTCTTTCTTTCTTTCTCTCCGCGCGCAGCTACATGCGCGCTGAACTTCACAACGTAGTATAAAGCGTATGAGACCGTCCACATGCACACACTTCAGCCTCGTTAATATCGAAAAAACTAAGTATACGTCTAAGGTGGCCTCGACGAAGACCGATGAGAGAGAAACAAGCTCCAGCCGACGGGATTACGTACGTGGGTGTTGGTGCGGAACTTACTACTACGTGCGATTCGGTGATAAACTGCTCGTCGCGGGCGGACGAGGTAAGCGAGGAAGGGAGTCGCTTTGACATTTAAAAAAGAGATTAATCGGCGTGGGGTCGAGCTGCTGAAAGGCGCGCTCTCGAGTATTCCTTTCTTATCTATTCCGTCGTGGTCGGATTCTTTTGTTTCCAACGAACAAGTCCATTTGTCGAAATTACGTCTGTTCAAGGAAGCGCGTAGGAGAGAAAGAAAGAGAGAGGGTTGACGTCGACGATAGGTTTCATGAAATTTCATTCGACCTCCCTTGTTTTTATGCAGACCGAGGGCGGACGGCTGCCGCGCCGCGTCGAGCCGCACCGAGCCGAGCTCTAACGCTCCGTCGACTTTAAAGTTTCTAATAAAGGAACGAGAGCTTTTATATCGCGGCTCCGTAGCAAAGAACGCTGAAACGCGATACCAGGCGTGTGTAGACGCCAATAGCGATCCCGATCTAATCTCCGTGCGCTATCGATCATCGGGAGCATCCACCTCCCGCGCCGTAAAGCGCGCCGTTAAACGAGATCTCGCCGAATATCGGTCGACGGCGTCTCCACGCCGGGAAGACGAGGGAAAACCGTGTCGCGAGTGCTCGCCAAACAATAAACTCGGTGTCATTAAATTGTCCCGGTATCGTCTCGAAGATCGAAGATCTATGACTCTAGCTCCACCGGTGTTACCTCGAAATATTTACGTTGCGTTATCTCGACATTTCTTGGAGTGGTAAGTGGCAGTATCTTCGCTCGAGGCGATAGTGAAAATACTCGTAGACACACGAGAGTGAATGTTTCACTCGATTAGAGTGGATTCTGACGTCATATGAGCGAACGTTTCAATCGATCGATGTGAATATGCGCTTCTGGCGGTAGAATATATCAGATTCACACTTCAGTTTCTAGTGAATATATTCATTCGACGACTCGGAGTAAAGAATTTACCCCGTAACAGTGAAAACTCACTCGAATTCGACTCTATTTTTTATATAAAATCTCACTCCAGGAAATTTAGAAAATTTAACTCATCTTAATAACGACGCAGACAATACAAATTACTAAAAGATGTCTTGAAGATTTCCAAAAAACGCCAAAAAGAAATAGGATTCCTCTTCATGATATCTTCATGATATCTTTTAATAATTTGCTTGGGAAAAGATACACACAAAGACACACTTCATACAATAAAATCGATTTCATCGAGATATAAGAAGGAATAGAAAAGAAAAATAGTATAAGCGCGCACAATGTAGTTTGTTCCTTATTTCTATTTCACGGCGACTATATCCTCCTAAGGCTTCGGCTATAGGTGCCCTCTTAAAGCTGCTCGTTCTTACGTCCGAGTAATTCGCTAATGGATCGAGTCTGTCGCGCGGAATTGCCGCTGCTTTACGCCGCGTCGAGAAAGCTTCACGAGGGATGAACGTACGGTAAAGGGACTTATTCTAAGCTTTTTTCCATTTGGCAGAACCGGCGAGGCTCGAGCGATCTCTGCCTCAAACAGTTCCGCGTAATTAATGTTCTCTCCGCGACGAGATTAATCTCTCGCCGCGTTGTCGGATGCGGCTCTCTGCAACGCTAATTCCCGCGGAAACGCTCGACGAACCGGAAATCGCGGCCGGAAAAAAGGAGGCACATTTTTACGCACTTCTTTACCACGCTGGATAAACACAAAAGGCATATTCGCGGTCCAGTAAGCTCCTAAAGAGCCGACGATGAAACACTGTCTTTTTTTCTCTCGATTCGTCGTGTTTTGCCACGGTAAGATATTCGACGACTGTTATTACTCTCTCGAGACTCTCAGCATAAACACATTTCGGATAACATAATTCAAGGTGGTGAGAAATTGACTAGTGTTTCTTTTTCGGATCATGGAGCAATCTTAGGAACAATCGTAGCATGTATTACAAATTAAAAAATAGATTTTTCCATCAGTATCGTCTGTGTTATTTGTACAATTTTTTGTTTATATACGTACGTTTGCATGTAATATAAAAATTGAGAAATCGTTACTTATCACGATTGTGAAGAGACTCAAACAGCGATGTAATGTAATAGTAGATTGAAAAGTTATATTATTGATTATGGTCATTGAAATTATAGTAAAAATGAAATATATACTGCGACAAAGATCGTGTACGTTATGAATGTTCTATTACGACATCTTTGTGAATATTCAAAGAGAAATTTTAAATGTTTCGTTAGCAGTGAACTGTTTAGTTTATAACACTCGCTCGAGTATGTATTGCACGGTTACTGTATTTACGTATGCAGAGTGCAATCAGCATTGCACAAAGCGAGGAAAACTCGATTTCGCGTAATTGCGATCCACCTGACGAACTTGCTGTAGCCCTGTAATTATTTGCAGGATCTAACAATCGATTCACGCGCCCACGTATCGGTTGAGCAGGAAAATAAGGACAAATCCGGTAACCATAGAGATAAACTGCAAAATCCCGGCGTATTTGCGCGGACTCTTGTGCCACTTGGCTCTTTCCCTCGGCAGAACCTCACTCACGGTAACGTACAATAACGTTCCGCCCGCCAGGCCTTGCAAAATCGGCAGCCCGACTTTTAACCAATCTGTGTCCACCTGTGAGTTCGAAAAGGACGATTTAGACATTCGCCAAAGCTGATGCCAAATAACATCCAACAATAAAAAAAAAAGGTTCTGATCGAGATTCTTGTCCCTCTACTCACCTGAAACATCAACATGCCGATTCCGATGCCGAGCACTGATCCGCCGGCGAACAGAAGAATCGTAAATATTAATTTAGCGACGGACCTGCTGATTCCCGTCAATTCCAGTCCCAGGCAAAAACCGACGACGAACTTGTGTGACGCCACCGCGCCGGTCAACAGTAACACCTGAGAAAACAGCCACATAATTGCGCAATTGCGTACGCACAATAACGCTTATCGATCTCGTTTCACTGGATCAAAAGGCACGAGGTGGAGAATAGGTACACGTAGCCACCCTGCCTCTTGTCCTTGTGAAATGAAATCCGCTTGCATCTGTAAATGACCGAAATTCAACGAACTTAACGTCGTCACGTACCGCGTCTCATTGTGGCTCCGTTACGAGTCACTGTTATCACCGACGACGACGACGACAACTCGAATTTACGTCTTCTCGTTTATATTCTTCATTATTCAGGCCACGATTCACGTACCTCTGCGATCTGCGTTTGCAGCCCTATCGCGAGCCCTTCGAGCACGGCGTGCACAGTCAAGGCGAGAGCGAGACTGGTGAGGCCGGTTTTGAAGTCGGCACATTGCTCACCCTGGTTCGTGTGGCATAAGAACGTGGCTTCCTCCTGCGACATGCTGTTACGCATGCATCCCGCCGTGCCGTAGCTGCTGACAGTCCAGGCGTTATTGTCGTTGTTAGCAAGGTTGTTAGCAGAAAGGGTCTGCCGATAGACGAACGGTAATCTCGAATCATTCTCGGATATGCAAACCTTCTCGTCTTGTGTAGTCACATTGAAACCGACACTGTGGCAACGGTGGCGACTGTTCGCGCTGAAATTCAAGGGATGCAATCCCATCAAAGCGGTGCAAAATCAAAATCGCGCAAAGATACGCTGCGTGTCGAATTGAGCGTGAGTTGACGACACAAACGGCGTTTATAATCGCGCTTTGCGTCACCAAATCGGCCGGAATCGTATCGCAAGTCTCGCATTTCCTGTTTGTCGAAGAAGTCGTGGCGAAATTTACTCGTCGAGTCTTGCGTAACGATAGCACACAGCACAAACATCTTACATTGACAAAATTTGAAAAGTTTTTAATTGTGTTGCTAAAGATCTAATAGCGACGTTATCGTGACTTTAACATGTTAATTAACATTCTCCGGGACTTTTAATAATAATAACATGGACATTGGTGCTGTATGAGACGAATTTTGCTCGTGGGGCTTTGTGTAACAATATCTCAAAAATAACATACCAACATTAAACCGGAACTGTCTATCCCGTATGTAAATAATTCTCGAAAGCGTATCAATAAAAATTAATACCTCGGGTTCTGCACAGCTCGAGTGGAGAGAAATTTAAATGTGAAGTTCTCGCATCATCACTGATGACATTCGAGAGCGATCGAGAGTAACTCGATCTCCTCGCGAGTCGCAATTCGTCATGAGAAACTCGACCTCGGTGCTTACCACGAACAGTCAACGGTACTCTAGTACGGAGGCAATCCAGTAGATGCACCCGCAACAACGGAAGTTGATATCGAGTGTCAATGTCCAACAATAGCTCGAGTGATCATTTTCCACGTGTGAGCGTGGTGTCGTTGGGTCCGCTCCCATTTGTTCTTCATACACGGCAAATACCCAAGAGTCAAGAATCAAAGCGCTCGGGTGTGCGAATCGACAGTCATTCCACGCGAGAGATAACGCTATCACTAACGTAACATCGGCATATATTTTGGACTAGCTTCATTCGACAAGACTGACAAAGGAAGTCGGTCAAAAAAATAACGTAACTATCTTATATCAATTGGTCTGTTCTATGTGGCTGAATTAGCTTGCACTACATTGAGAACAAATATCTAAAAATTAACAATTTATTAAGTGGGTACTATTATCACATGTTTACTCATATTATATTACATATTTACTCATATTATAGTACAAATTTACTCAAATCGGATTTCTTTTCATTTAAACCGAGTATTGTTTACTCGACTTAAACAACTTGACTAAACGATAGTAAACAATGCTCAGTTTAAATAAAGAAAATTTTGTAAATATGTTAATGGTACCCACCTAATATGTATATGCACGATATGTATATGTATGACGTTACATTTGTAACCGCTAAAATTTCGCTGAAAAACACATCTAATTCTAAAGTCCGTATTAATAATCGTTACTTGAAACTTGCCTCAGGTGAGACATTCAGATTTTAATTTAAAGAGTTAGATCTAAGTTTTCAGCTAAATTGCGACTGCAAATGTAATGTTACACACAAGTACAAACTAAATAATATATATAATTCAAATAAAAAAAATCTAACTCTAAATACAGATTTGAATATTTTTCGTAGGTAAATTTCAAATAACGACTATTAATATGACCTTAAGGCCGTATAATCGTTATTTAAAACTTGTCTCTCATAAGATATTTGAGTCTGAATTTAGAGATCTATACTTGCATTTTTTATTTAAATTATATAATATATGTGACATTACATTTGTGATCGCAACTCCGCTAAAAATTTGTCATTTGTCTTTGATAAATTTAAAATTTAAATTTAAATCTGAATATCTCTCACCTGAAGTAAATTTCAAGTAACAACTATTAATACGCACCAAAGAATGAATAACGAGGAAGAATTTCTCGACAATTACATAATCGGTCGCTTCGGATTATTTAAATCGTAACTGTGTGTTTCTGTGTATATTTCATGTGTACATCATGATTACCGATCATGATTACGTTACAAAGATATTTTCAATAGGAAACTGATAATTAGCACAAATGTCTGATAATGCTCACGTCGTTCGTCTTATAAGAGATCATTACACCATGATTTATCGCCGATAACAAATGATAATATGTCACGAAACAATCAGTACATCACACGCACTCAGAGAAAAAAACATTTATGAGATAGTAAATATTTATTCGGCAGACACTAATAACATATTTACTTATACTAACGTAAAATATTTTTCCAATAAGATCAAAATACATATTTTCTTAGAACCTTAACTCTCCATTGCATGAAATAAGCATTGAGTTGGAATTTTATTTTTTAATTATATAAAAATAGCTTAACAGCTGACTTTGAAAGTTTTTAATTTTTCAGTCTTACAATTTTTTAGATTATATTTGTATGGTCGTTTTCTTAATTTTATTAGAATAACTTTAATCTAGAGAATCTAGAGATTGAAATAAATACATGCTAATATTTAATACCAAAGAAATATTTACCATTGCTTAGATATTTACTTCTCCCAGCGTGGAACATGGAAATAATCGAAAACACAGAACGAGGTGCTTATTATTGTTCCACGTTACCACGTGTAAATTTGGATTGCGCGTCCTTATATTAGACAGCAACGAGTTATATTTAAGCATCCGAGAATATCTGAGAGAATATTCGAGGAATATACCGATCGATCCTCGTGGATCGCGTTGAAGCTCTCTCTCTCTCTCTCTCTCTCTTTTTCTCTCTCGTAGCACGTACCTACCCTCGCTCGTGCGTGTTCCTCTGTCTAGAATTCCCAGGACCACTATTGGCCTCGTGGTCGCTGCTCGGGCAGAAGTAGTGTACGCACTCCTCGACCAAGTAAAGCACGAGGAAGCCGCAGGTGAACACCAGCTCGGCGTGATCCGGGAGATTCTCGCGCACTTCCGGCAGCATGTGCAGACACGCAGTGGCTAGCAGGACACCGGCGCCGAAGCACAGGGTGCAGGAGAGCAGCAGCTTCCTCTGCAGGTGCTCGGCGTGCGAGACGAAGCAGGCGGGCGTGACGCCGACGATGAAGCTACCGGCGCCGATCAGCACCATCGAAGCTATCTTCGCCTGCACCGCGTTGGTAAACATCGCTGGTCGTAGGAACACTCGCGAATGAGCGGCGTAGAAATCGAAGGAGCTGCTGGGATCTCACTGAACCTCGACGCTGTAGACGCGCGGAATCGACCCTTATCTGCATTCATTCGCGACGCGACGGTAACGCGGATGATCAGCGTGATGAGGTGGCTGCTCGCATTTTCAAGGCATCGGAGGTCTCGAACTCGGGTAACACTTGCGGAAACACTCCTGGAACACGGCGACGCTGTCTGTATATATGTCAACGCGATATAGACACGCGGACAGCTTCAAGACGCAACGATAATCCGATGATGGCGGTGATAAGGCGCTGATAGAATCAGACACCCAGCACAGTTGCTATTCGTCGGCTTGTTGCACGCTGGAGGGAGAGAATCGTTCGAGTGATTTTGTTATTAGTTTCGCAATAACTCTTTCCTGAGATGTCGGCGATACGATTTTCGTCTTGACTTATCGGCCACGGAACGACGCGTCTGAAAACGAAACGCATCGCTTATCTCTCGAAAGAGTTCGAATTTCCGCCGACCTAAATCTCGACTCTTCACTGTATTCGAGCTTTCATGCGACTTTGAACGCCGAAATTAGATCATCGATAAGGTAAAAGTCCAATATCTCGACACCTATAACACCTATAACACTGGTACTTAACTGAACATTCTTCTTGTTTTGGTCTTAAAATTTTCAACGTGGGATTTATATATTGGAACATATACATTCAATATGTATGTTCTGTCTCTTTCTCTCTCTCTCTCTCCCTCTTTCTACATTGAAAATTTAGATATCTGTATTTAAAGACCAAAACAATAAAAATGTCCAGAATTAGGTACCTGTGTTATCAGTGTCCAGGCATCGGTTATATTTTTATGTTAAAGTGCATTCTGTTCCGAGTGCGAAGGGAAATAATGATTACCGCGAAGCTGGAACAGAATCAGTGCGGAATATTGAGGCGATAAGAAGCTCACGGAAACATGCGATAAGCGACATTGGCAAAAAAAAATTGGAGGCCAAGCTGACAAGACATATATCTCAAGACGCGATCTCAATGAATCTACGCTCGATCATGATAAACGGTTTACTTACTTATACTTTCGATTGATTAATGATGATCTAAGTCCTTCGCTGTCTGCCTTATTTTTCAAATTTCTTGTCATTTTCACCTTGAGACAACCTCACGTCACTCTCACAACATATACGAATTTGAAAGTTTCCGATAGTCTGTAACAGATCTCGCAAATTGTCAATTTCCATTTCAGGACATTAAATTTACCATCGTTTCTATTATTATTTGCGTCACAAATTTCGCACACGTGCGCACGCAACGTGTTATTAGATAACCTTACAACTCAAATTGAACCTTTATCTTATCTGCATTTAATTGATGAGTGAAATGTTAGAGGCTAACTCATGCATATACTTCGAAATATTCAATATACGCTATAAAATAGCTTCCTTTTCTGTCTGGAGTATTTGTATAACACAACACTTCGTTATTTACTTCTTCTTTCTTCAATTCACCCGAATGTAAACTTGATCAATTTATTGACTGTAAACAGTGTAATATCCAGTGTTGCCAGATCGATAAAAATAATTTCTGTAGATTTTCTAGTAAAATTTCCCGAGAGATTCCTGTAAAAGCCAGTTTAGACAAAAAGAACAGGTCTAATGTCGAGTCATAACTAAAAACAATTTATATTAAGATCAGATCACATTTCTTTATTAAAAAAACTTATATAATAATATATAAAAACTTATAATAATTATAATATATATTAGAACATTTTTAGAATATATTTCCAGTGCTATATTTCACAATCTTCGGTTGATTTTTTTATTAGAATCAATCGCATTTACTATTAAGTAGAATTGACCAGAAATACAATCACAATTGACACTAAGGCTGCGTTCTTTTATTCGCAACAAATGCAGCTGATGTCATGTTATCCTTCGATTTTACCGAATGTTAACAAGGATAGAATGGGTGCGTTCAGAAGACACAACTGTTGCACAACGGTTGAGTAATTAGTCAACATAATTGGTCTAAAGTTAGGGATCTAACAGTAAGGACCAATAATCATTGAACGCTCACTGATCAGCTATGTTTTCTGAACGCAGCCAATGACATCGGCTGCATCTGTTGAAAATAAAAGGACACAACCTTAGGGTCTGAGCACAGACTTTTGCATAACGCATAACGCATAACGCATAAGGCAATTAACCAATCAGAGACCTTTATTTCCCTCTCCAGGATAGAAATGAATGACTCTAATTGATTGATTTCCTTATGTGTTATGCATTATGCGTTATGCAAAAGTCTGTGTTCAGGCCCTTAAGGTGCGTGTTAGGAGTTCGCTATTAGTGCTATTCAGCGACCATGTCATTCTATCCTTGTTGTATATCTAAGGAGCAATAAAGATAGAAGAACGCGGTAGCGTTAGTAATGTGCTTCCCGAACGCACCCTTAAGTCCGTATCAAACTACCGACTGCACAGGTCGACTCGACTGCCGATTACGACTGCCGACTCCAGTCGGTCAATCACACTTAAGCCAACGGCACACGATGCTTGTTTTCATACTGGATTGCTTGCTGGATGGAAATATTATGTTCTGATTGGTGTATTTCTGAAGACGGATTAATCAGAATAGAGTATTTCCATCTAGCAAACAATCCAGCACGAAAACAAGTATTGTGTGCCGCTGGCTTTATCGACGTCTGCCGCTGACTGATCGTACTAGTGACATCTGCTAGAGAACAAAAAGTGCAATAAATAGGCGCATTCAGCGGAAAAAGCGCTCAGTGAGCAATCAGCGATTATTGGTTCTTACTATTAGATCCCTAAATCTAGACATATTACATTGACGAATTGTTCAACTATTGTGCAACTATTGAGTGCGCTGAACACACCCATTGTCATTAGATTAAGTTCTGTGTGATAGTAAAATAATGGCATATATGTCAAGAAATTTAACATTTTCTTCTAAGAAATCTCAAAATATTAAAAGAAAGAAGAAAATAGTTGCGTTATCATATGAACTACCATATGATTGGCTACGACTCGAGTCGCTGACTCGAAAGATAGACTGAAGTCTAAATGCGAGTTGGCCGATCCAGTCAGTCGGCGCCTCACTGTGATTGGTCTATTGAGAGTCGGCAGTCGGGTCGACCTGTGCAGTCGGTAGTCTAATACGGGCCTAAGGCTGATATTTCACGTGTCGTACGACAAGCTTTTTAGATACGTTTATTGGTTGACGAACAGAGAACCTAGAAATACTCTATTCGCCAACCAATAAACGTATCCGAAAAACTTGTCGTACGACACGTGAAATAGCACCCTAATACGGGCTTAATAGGCACGAACTAGACGCTTTTCATCGTTACCACCACAAAAATGCACCTAACGAACGTAGTAAAGGCGCACTTTGTTAGATGGCGTCTCGAAAATGCGCCTAGCTCATTGAAATCAGACTGGTGGCCGCTCTCATGCTTCTCTCTGTAATTATTTTCGAGGAATATTTATTGCCTAAAGATTAATGAATTAAGAGAAAATATTTACAATCTGAAGCAACGTGCAAGTTCTGGCTCGTTCCACATATTTCACAGTGCGCATATGCGAGTATGCGGCTTTTCTGTAAAGCTACATCGATCCAACCTTCCTAGCGCTTTTGTATATTGGAAAATTATTTTGAAGATTCTGAATATGTATCTGAGAGAATAGAAGCGTATATCCTAAGATAGTATACTGGAGGTAGTGCTGAGCCGTATATGCACACTTGACTCCATTTTCGATAAACGCGTATCTGAAATATTTAGGAAAATTAGTTTATTTTAAAAAAACTTTAAAAAATTGTCGAGCGAACAAAAAAACGCGCTCCCGAAATGTACTCTAAACCGACTTGTATCTTCATGTTGGCATCACTACTCACGTGACAGCAGGTTATCTTGACATGTTATGTTTGAGTTTTACTTAAGTGCTGTAATGTAAATCCTGTTAAATTGATATTTTATACATGTCTAACGAATTAGAGAGAAAACAAATATTCGCGCCAGAATACGAGTCACGCTATAAGGATAGATTAGAATAATCTGTGACGAGATATGCGATATTGTAGAACTTGCCATCTAAAAAGTTAGGTTACGGCGCAATATATAAACTCAGTGTAGTAATTTATCTACCATTTAGCTACAGCCAAGAAGAGGACTTGGTTTAAAAATAAAAACATCACTATCCATATCGTTCATTTATCTATATTTTACTTACTATGCTTTTTCTTTAATTACTCTCCTTCGCTTAAACCTATACTTAGCCTACGCTTATCCTACTATCACACTGTCACAGTAAACTCCTCTCCTACACCTCTTCTCCTCTGTTTCTTCCCTAAAACTTTTCTAATCTTTCCCTTTACTACTTATATATATGAACACAGCGAAAGATCAGTGAAAGATGTCATCAAGGAGCAAAGTAAGACGACATTCGCCCAGTCGCGAATACACACGTGAAAATGACAGACATTACAAGAAGAAACATCGCGATGATCTGAAAAGCGAAGAATGTAGCTCCTCGAAATTTACGCGAAACCCTTCCCCGGAGTATCGTCGCGAAGAGAGCGACGAAGAATTCTGTTTCAATAAATATAAACACGAATTGGGGAAGGTCTTCACGGCAAATTCCAATCTCGTTCACGATGTCGCGGATTTTTGGAAATTCGTCGAAAAGTACGAGTCTGTGAAGAAGCAACTAGGCGACAATGACGAATCCGTCGCTGAATCCGCACTAAATTCTATCGGGGTACCGGAGAAATATCACAAGTCTCATTGCTTAAATTTCAAACTCAACTTGTCCTATGGAGAATTGTTTGCGCGAGTTCCCGAGATGAAGCAGTTAACAAAGTCGCGACTGCTGAAGTTCAGGGATGTTGTAGTCTTGTATCTGGATTTCAAGCAAAAGGAAAAATTTAACAAGTTGAAGAAACTTAGGAATGCACAAGCTAATTTACCAGTTGCACAGTACAAAGATGAAATTATTGAAACAGTAAAAAGAGAAAGAGTAGTTATTATAGCAGGAGATACTGGATGTGGCAAATCTACTCAAATCCCTCAATATTTATGTGAAGCTGGTTTCCAGAAAATAGGTAAGATCATCTTAAACCTGAGTAAATTTATTTAATATTTTTTATACTGTTGAAAACAATTAGGAGGTCATATTTTTCATATATGTTTACCTGTTGGATACTTA